AACGAAAAGATTTCCTGGTGACGTCGGTAGTCTGGAGGTAAGGTTAATGAACTCGTAATTGTGAGATTGCAGGTTCGGGGGTCCGAGGCTCAGCTCGGTCTGGCGTTGTGTCCTTGGGGAAGGGCACTTTATAATACTTTATACGAATTGTTCCATTTGTCACTGTACTACCGGAGATAGACAGTGAATTTGGAAGTCCCGCCACTTAAATGGAAAAATTCTCAAATTCTGCAAACTGAGCCCACAAACGTGAAATTGTTTGATTCTGTTAATTTTAACCAAGAATAATAAAGGAAAATACTCCCCAAAACAGCCCAAATCATCCACAGCCATTTGCTCCGTAGTCCGTTTCCCCATCTTTAAAAAAACCTGATCATTTATCGGGCGTCTAAAAAAGGGACCCGTTTAAACGGCAATAACTCAGTCGTCTTTGAACTAATTTCAATAAAACTTCGAACAAATATATAGCATTCAAACAGGGACACGTCACATTTCTCAATATGAACAAAAATAATCTTTAAAATTCTTTCTTCTGGCATGTAACGAGGTGCCCCTTTGAAGTAAGATAAGATGCACCAACGAATTTAAAAAACAAACCAAATACCTGGTTAGAACACGAGCATTGTTTGCATGATTGTTGTAGTAAAAATAGATAAAAGCACATTATAATGATAAAATATTAATAATAATGGTTACTAAGTGAAGGGGAAAACTATAAAAACAAATGTGTTGCGACGCCGTGGAATCAGGCGCTCGCCAATTGTTGGAAATGAGGAGTTGCATTGGTATCGTTTTGAAGTTTGTTCATCTGTCTTGCTTTCGATGGAAAAAATACTCAGATATTAATAGAAATCAATATATTTGCGATTGAAGGAGGGGGGGGGGCTGGTTTCAGAAGTAAAATTAGCGAGAAAATGGCCACCAAAGTTTGGTGACTTTCAAAGTTTGACAGTCATTAGAAACTGCAAATGTATATTCTTGTGCCTTTGATCAACATTTTTCAGTAAAATCCACACAGAAAGATGTTTTTAAATGGACCTTAGATCTAGAGTTGTTGAGTAAAAAAAGATTTACACGAAAATTGCCAAACAGACAGAGAAATTCCACTTTCTTCGATTTCATTATTTTGACAAGCGCCTGATTTCACCACGACGCCTCACGTATACAGATAGAAATAACAGAGAGGGGAAAAGGCCATGCTTGTGGTGTCATCCTAACACTATTTTGGGGGGACAACAAAGACTTACCTTTTCATAAACTTTTAACAATGTCCGTTGTTACATAAGATATTAAATTCATACATCTTTGTTTCATATTGTGTAAGGCTAAAAAATAAAAAAGGTCATGTTTTCAGCTATCTATAAGATTCTGTAACACTACATTTTAACACAAAATACCCTGCAAACTGATTTTCCCACAAACACACATACATAACATACACACACACACATACATAACACACACACACACACACACACACACACACACACATGGGCGCGTGCACGTGCCCGCACACATGCACATGCACACACATACACATACACACACACACACACACACACACACACACACAAACACACACACACATACACACACATACGCACACACAAGCAAACAACATAAGAACAGTAGACTGATCTACACCAGTGGAATGTTCTCCCAATTATTTATGTTGTCAGTGTCGTTCGCAATGCTTTTTCAGAATGGAAGGTTTTCTCCCCAAAAAATTTTTTTTTTTAAGTCAACAAGGTTGTTAAAAGTGGGGAAAAACCGACTAGGCCATGATCTATAGCTTAATAGATTCTTCTACAACTATACACCCAAAGCCCAGCAATATCGAATTTCCCTTCCTTTCGAAGCAATTTGGCCAGGTAGCCTACGGGTAAAGGGAAACTACTGTACTTTTGTCACTGGGAGTACAATATTTCATGATTAAATGCCCTTGGACCGTAAAAGAATACAATATTTCATTCGTAAAAGAGTACAATATTTCATGGTTAAATGCCCTTGGAACGTAAACTTTTTCAATTGTTAAAATTGGTGTAAATCTACCCCCCCCTTGTTTTTTTGTTGTTTTAAATCAATAAAATATATAATACAATTATGCATTCCATGCCATTGACATATCTGAAACATCTCACTGATGTTCATTTCTGGTGACATGACTAGATCTACATGTGTTTTAAAGAGAAAGCCCTGTCCCAGTGGTTTTATGCACCCCGCATAATTTAGCAAAATTTGATCATTTTTTGCATAATTTCTGATTATTTTCCTTTATCATTCTTAGCTAAAATTAACAGAATAGCATAGTTTCACATTTTGGGGCTCAGTTTGCATAATTTCGGAATTTTTCTTACATAAAATGACGGGGACAGATTAAAACAAGTATAAAACATGTATTTTGTATTAACAACAATAATAACCACCATGATTACAATAGTAACAAAGTTAACTTTATTTAGGGCATATATACCAGAGTGACTCAAAGAATTTTGAAATGTTACCAACCAAAACAAAACTGATTATATATGTGACAAGAATTACAATAATCTCTTTCTCTCTCTCTCTCTCTCTCCCTGTGTCTCTCTCTCTCCCTGTGTCTCTCTCTCTCCCTGTGTCTCTCTGTGCCTCTCTCTCTCTCTCTCCCTGTTTTAAAGACACATGTGCACACATCACAAAATGAGCACACACTAGCAACTACCTTGAAAAGTAGAGTACATTTCCAATGATAATAAAATACTGTAAACCAGTACAACAGATTTACTGTATAAAACTTCCACGCCAAGAACCAAAGATCAAGCAAGGCCACAGATCTTAATTGTGGTGAAGTTTCGTAGTGTAATTCACAGAAAATTCAAATTATCAGACCATCTAATGGGGTTCTCGTGGTAAAAAGTACTGTGTTCGCCTCTCAGTCAAAAAGTCCTCGGAACAAAACCTGCCACTTTCAGAATAATGTTCTTCTCAAAAACAATTTAACTTAAAATGGAAGAACTGCAAGACAAAAATGATCTAAACAAAACAAATGTGTAAGTTGCCAGAGCTTTCCAGGAAGTTTCACTTACGACAATTGTCCAGTTTTATGGAATTAATTAAGAACGAACAGAATAAAATGGTTTAGCTACCTGTTACGTATGTCACCTAGCCAGCCAGCCTTAGAGCCTATGTTTTAGTTTTAGTAGAGGTTTTACGGCGCTCGCAACTGCATAAGGTCATATGAGCGTCAGAAGATTAGGGGTGTTACAAGAGAATAACAAACATAAAAAAGAAGAAGGGGAGATAAGGACGATAGATGTTTGATAGGAAAGAAGAAGCAAACCACACCAGAGCACCCGCCAACCACCGACTTAGGGCCTATAACACCAAGCATTCAGGCTATAAAGGGGGATGAAAAAGTAAAAGTAAGTAAAAAATAAAGAGTGGTGTCCGCCTAAACCAAAATCTGAGGGACCACCAGATTCTCTTCCGTTTAACCAGGTTTTCAGGTTAAAGAGATTTTTCAAAATGGAAGAAAAAAATCAGGAATTTTATATTTTCTTTCTGTAAAACGCTGTTTCAGTTTGAATAATGTGTGTGTGCGCACATGTGTGTGTGTGTGTTTCTGTGTGCAAGAGTGTGTGTGTGTGTGTGTGTGTGTGTGTGTGTGTGTGTGTGTGTGTGTGTGCGTGTGTGTGTGCACACAGGTTTTCTTAGCCTAATACTCAGTGGTGCAAACTTGCCTTTAGAGCGACATACTTTCTCCTTCACCAGATTTTCCAACTGATAGAGCAGAAAGAAGGACGAGCTTTCAAGACATGACATAACTGACCATCTCTCCAAAAGAAAATGAAAACAAATATTTTGACCGCTGTGACTCCATACAATATACGGCCAAATTTACAACTCAACAAAATTCAACCACATATTGCTTTTAATGTACACTACCTGTTGCAAGATTACCTTAGAGCATAAAGGACAGTTGTCTTTCACACAGACCTGAGCTAAATGATATGACAATCATAATTATATTTATATAGCGCATACTCTATGCACTTTACAATTATCCTTATCCCAACAGACCCTAGAACACTCAGAAACATTCTCAGCTTCCTGGAAAGCATACAGTGAAAGCAGTTGATAAAGCACTTTAACTCAAACCCTTAAAAACTTATTAGATTTTTTGCTGCCTATAGACGGGTAGTCATTCCACCCTGGGTGCCCTGAGTGTGTAGAGGGCCTTTTCCAAGGAGACAACATGGGGCACATGAGGGGTTCTTTTGGGTAAGAGTTTTACGGCATCGCAACTGCAGCAGGTCATATGAGAGCGCGGAACACACCTAATATTTTCAGTTGGTAGGAAATTTTGAATTTTGCTCGGGTGGTGGCCGAAGCCTACTCTTATCGATTTTAGACCACCAAGGGATCTTTAACAAGTGCAACTTGCACACAGGCCCTCCGAGATTTTTCGCCCTTGTCCGAGAACACTAGGTGTAGATTTTTCCTACCAGAAGATCAGAGGTGTGGCTGAAAGACAGCAGTAAGAAAGAGCAAAGGAGTAGCAGTAGAAAGGCTGCAGAAAGAGTCAAGAGCCCAGAGGAGGGGGCAAAGGAGGTGAGGGGGTGAGGGCAGAAAGAGGACACGAAAGAAGATTGTTAGAGAGCAGGAAAGGAGGTGAAAGAAGACAATTTAAGAGAAGTATATTTTTCGGTCGCTACTCGTAGTCGAACGCGGGACCTTTGAATGAGAGGCCAACACCTTAACCTCTAGACCACGAGAGCTCCCCCCTGACAGGTTTGAACCTACAACCTTTCAGTTATGAACCCAACACCCTTACCACTACATCACCCATGACTACAACACTACCCTCCTCGCTCTGAGACACGACACCGGGAACACTCAGACGGAAAGCAGGCACTTACAGAGATCCTGTCTGCATACCACTTCATGGCACTGGACGGAAGGGTCAAAGCCCATGAATACAATGCTGAATCAATAACAACAAAAATAACAATAATAATAGATAACATTGCATTACACAAAAAATGTGTATAAATTTATATTTTAAAATCGGCCAAAAGACAAAAGAATGTACCGGTATTTGAGCCCTTTTATCACATTTAGCATATAGTAGGGCAGAAACTACTGTATCTCAACAGTTGGAAATTCAGTATAATGTTAGAACAGAATCACTCGGTACACATGATTGACAACATTTTGATAATTGACTGAATAATATGCAGCTCTGTAAGTCTATTGAAGTGTATTAACTGCAGCACGAAATTGAGTCCGAAGCTGCTCCTTCATTTGCTCATTGTCAAAAATGTAGTCAATGGTGGAGACCACATACTGCTTTAATCTGTCTTTGCCCAAAGCAAATGCTTCCGCTGCCTTGAAATATTCCTCTGTAAGTTTACTGCCATAAACTCCTTTTCCATCAGTCTGGAAAAGAAAAACGAGGGAAAAAAACAACCAAATATTACTGCCAAGACAGGAGAAGGCAAGTAATAAGGGGTACAAAAAAAGAAAAAACGGTGTATCACCTAAATGAATTTATGGAAAAATGAATAAGTTAAGTACACTGGTAAACACTAAATTCAAATTTGAAGCTTGAAACCAAAAAAATCCTAGAAAACAAAAGGAGCTACACAAATACAGAAAAGTAGTTTATCAATCTGTGAACACACTCACACTTTAAGCGGAAAAGGTTTTCAAAATTACTTGTTTAATTTTAGTAAACGTTTTATGGCACTTGCAACACAATAAGGTCAGATGAGTATCGAAGATTAGAGGTGTAACAACAAAAAAAGACGGACTGATAAGGACGACAGATGTTTGATAAAAGAAAGAAGGAGCAAACCACACCAGAGCACCCCGCCAACCACCCACTACTTGTGTCCAGGTCAGACTTTGAAATGTGATTTACTCCAGCACACTATTTCTTTTCTTTCATTCACATCCAAAAAAAAAAAAAATTTTGCGCACACTCACACAAAGTACAACAGGATGAGATTTATCCAGCCAGTACTTGAAATGATGCTGCTCGAGGTTATCCACAGTCATTGTTAATAGGTTTGAAGTAATACAGGCTTCTGTGGAGAGGAGCGGTAGGTGTACTGATAGATTTAGGCTCTAACCATCAAACTAGAAGAAATAGTCAAAAAATTTTCTTTCAGTTTGACTCATTGCCAAGATCGATTTGCAGGTCTTTAATACAGAATAATAATAATAATAATAATAATAATAATAATAATAATAATAATAATAATAAAGTAGTCTCTGCCTTAGATCCCACCGCTAACTATCCTGGTTTGCTTAAGATCCCGCTGTTTTAGGAAAACAGAATTTTTACTACACCCCTAAGATCCCCCTCTGTTTCACTCTAAAGGTCAATATTCGGCCAAAATCCCGTATTTGAGATAATAATTTACGGAACAAAAACCCAGGAGGCACAGCCGATCAACCAAGAGTGAAAAGTTGAGATTATTGAACTGCCCATCGCGTCAAAGATCAGCCACTCTCGTGAATGAAATCACAAAAGCATTGTAAAACTCGAAACAGTACAATGTTTGCCCCTGACAAGATAACACCAATATGTGAACAGACAGAGGCGTTTGTTTTCCCCAACATCACACTCGCATCTGAGCTCCCCACTTAAACTTACATCTCTCGCTGGGTGGGTAGGGCCTACAAGTTCACTCCAAGCGGGATAACATCGAACTGTGAACTCTTCCCTGACCATCGCAACAGTTGTCTCTACTACCGAATTTGCGAGACAGACTGAGTTTTAATTGATGTGGTCACAACATAATGGTACATAACGACAAAGGCGGAGGAACTCGGTCAGGGATGGAAAGCTATAAATTTTGAATAGGTAAACGGGAAGAGCGACTGGATAAGCGTATATCTTGAGGATCAAGATAGGATAATAAGTGTAAATGGCATGCCTCATGCCACTGTGATTGATCATCAAGGTCGACCACTCTTTGTTCACCATATGTCATAAACCCACCCATGGGTAAGGTCAGTTCATTTTAGAGTGGAGAGAGACCATTTTACAGGTTTTGGGCCTTGACATGGATCACCACAGATTCTTCCCTTGGTGCGTCTACTAAGATCCCATTCGCCTGAGATCAGGCATTTTCCTTGCCTCCCGAGCACCAGGATCTTAGGTGGAGACTACTGTAATAATATAGTAACAATGATAATAACAAAAATAACAATAATAACAATAGTAATAATAATAATAATAATAATGATGATGATGATTATATTTATACAGCGCATATCCACACTCTATAGCATGCTCTATGCACTTTACAATCATTATCAGAAGCCAGCATAGTGAAACGTACTGCAGGATAACTTTTGCGTCTATTCTCATCATTTAAATCAGAAAGCTTTTTTAGCGTGATAAAAAATTTCCATGAAGCCAGTTACATGATGACAGTTTAACATCATCGATATAAAACCAACAGGGACAGAGATATTATAACAACATCTCCTTGACTCTAGTAAATGGTATAAACCAAAGCAGTTGTCATTGGTACACAGAATTCAGGACTCGGAAAAACTCATGTAACAACAGACCAGAAAATAATGTTTCTTTAGTTTTACTTTAAGAGCAAATGATTGAATTTGAGAGCGATTCAAGCATATCTTCTTTTGCTACCAACATACACTTACATTTGGACTCCTGCATAATAATAATATGTTCTCTGATCAGATTTTTATAAAACATATCTCAATGTCTCAGGTATAGATCTAGCCATTTTGTGTCCAATGCCATCAATATGGCCATGTTCAAGAAAGCACTGACAGTGTCTGACATAGGTTTATAGTTAACGATATATGAAAAAAATAAGACACAACAGACTTCTGAAGAACTAACACATGGCTTACTCATCAGCTGTAGTTAATAAAATTAATAACAGTTTGTCCATCAATGTCTGAAGATGAACAATGCCTCTGCAGACGTAAATATTTCTCAAGCGAAATAGAAGAATTAAAGGTCAAGATGACATGTGGCTTCTGCTATGGCAGATGAAATCAATTCTGGCAGAGAAAAGTTTGCCACATTTTGAGCATTCAAAAGCTTCACTTAAACTTGTGGATGTGCACAGCTTGTGGGCTTCGCTCTTGGTTTTGGCATTTCTTATTCATGACAATCAGTTTTGGTAAGTAATAAAGAGTTGAACTTTTCAGATTACCCTGGATAACACTTCTTGCAAAACTCTCCAGCACTAGAACGGTGCAGAATGGAACACAAGGTTACTACATATACTTGTAAATAAAAATATCTGCATCATCTTACTGACCAAACAAACTGACACATTTTAAAACTCCTGACCTATGGGTACTTTTTCCTTGATTACCAAGTCCTCCATTTCATCATGTCCCATGCCCTGGTCATAACGATGTAGGTAAGTGCCGTGTCCAACACGAAGATCACATTTAGCAGCACAGGATCGCAACACTTTTTTTGTCTCCTCGTACAAAGGCAACTGTGTAAAGAGAGTTCCCCTCTATTTTATTCAAAAGTGTAAAGCTGAGCAAAGAAGGGGGAGAAGCAGCAGCAAAAGCAACAAGTAAAACAACCTATGATCCCATCAGAATAACTCCCCCTAACTTTTTGTTGTTTTCATAAGAGTTTTACGGCACTTGCAACACAATAAGGTCATATAAATGCCAAAGATTAGAGGTGTTACAAGAGAGTAACAAATACCAAAAAGAAGGAGGAGAGCTAAGGGGGAAAAGTGTTTGAGAGGAAAGAAGAAGCATCCACCAACCACCCAACCCTCTAACTTTGGAGACAATAGGAGTTACCCTGCTGAGATCTACACTCAGCAAGACAAAATGCTTTAATACTGACAGAATATGTTTGTTGGATTGACATCTCAGACTAGTCCAAAAATGCGGTAATCATCAAATATCGAGTATATCAAAATACATGAAATCCATCCCTTGTATTCTCAGGCTCTTACCCCCCTCCCCGCCTAATCTATCATGCTGTGCCCCTACACAAAAGAGAATTAGAGCTACAAAGCAGCCTTAAGTCTGTTTCACTCTGATGTACCTCTGATGGTCTTATGTCCTCTTAGAGTAACAAAATTCACAGCTATGATACTATTGCAGATTCTGCTTTTTGTCACAAGAGAAGGGTAAAAAACATAGCCTACCTCAGCCAGATGAACTGCCAGTTTCAGTCCTCTGCTGTGAGCATCTAACAAGATAGGAATGAAGTCTGCAGCATTACCCACCTATAATACAAAAAATATGATGCACTTAATGACTGATTGAAGAAATACGGTACAAAAAGACTCAAGCCCTATTTAAGCCGCAAATTAGAACATACATCCTTTGGAGAAATTCTAATATTGCAGGGATTTTAACAGTTTTTCCTACATACACAGCCAAACTCAGTACAGTGAAAACATTGTACAGTTCAAAGATGAAAAGAATTCGCAAAAACACCTTGGATTTGTTGTGAGAAAACAAAACAAAAAACAGGCTTTCTTCCATGAGATAAAGAGAAGCTAACCACATTACAAAAGTCAACACAGAAAAAGAAAAATGACAGACTGAAATAAGAGAATCACCAAACAAAAAGAAACTCATGGTTTTACTGGAGAGCACGACCCTAAAAACCATAATTAATAATTATGAAGATAAAAATGTCTAGTAGTAATTGGTAATTGGTATGGGCAAAATAAGAGGGCATGAGACGTATATTAAATTTGTCGACACCATATTTGTCTCAGTGCAGAGGGCAAAAAATCTATCAATACCAATACTATCAGCAAATGTGACAATACAGTCAGTTTCTTGATAGCAAGATGCAATATATGGTCTATTGGCTCGTAACATCCAACCAGTCATTATTTTACTTTTTTTTAGACTTCTTTATTTTCTTAGTCCATATTATAATCCATTTAATAGATGATAAAAACTTAAGAAGTTAAGTTTTTTAAATATTTCAAATGAGAGAATACTTGAAGTAAAAAACATTAAACTTCAATAAAATATGAGTGGGCAACATTAACTTACCGCTCAATGTCTTTCAAAATAGGGATTAAATGCAAAAAACAAAAATGATATTTGAATTCCTCATAAAAGGAAACATGACCAAGAATGGGATGTGAAATCCACCTGAGCCAAGCTCAAGATTGACCCTAGTCATCTATTTTTCATGCCACGCCAGCATAGAGCAAGGATATGCAACAAATTAGACAAGAATATAGAGGTATACATGAGATGAGACGAGATGAGATGAGATGAGATGGGATGAGATAAGACGTGATAAATCTTTATTGTCCAGTTCCCGGCAGATTGGTTTGGTGTGTCACCATGTACCTGCATACAAGGGCTGTCCAAAAAGTAACATGAAAGAGACCACTGGATAATCTATTTTACATGGATCTACATAAATAATAAAAACTTTCGCTTTATGCAGTAAGGCCATACAGCTACTTCCCAACATAGCCCACAAAAAGGTAGACAGGTAGGTCACGTGCTGCTATTGGAACTTGAGCACAAAAAGTAACATAGATTTCCTTTTGTGCAGTTTATAGACTGTAAAAAGAACTATTACTTCTCTAGTTATGACCACTTTCCTTTTTTTAAAATAAGAGTTTAAGCATTTGCAACACAAATTGGTCGCATTAGTGCTGAAGATTAGAGGTGTTACTAGAGAGAAGATACAAAGAAAAGAAAGAGAAGATAAGAATAAGGACTATAGATGTTAGATGGGAAAGGACCAAAGTACGCAAGAACACATACCCTTCTGGAGATTTGATCTACGTACATTTGATAGGGGATAAGTCTTAACTTCTGGCACAGTGTGGTCATTTATAGACCAACTAGTGTCAGAAATGAAAGATCAATTACAAAGAGCCTTACCCTAGGGTCACCACTGAGATCAAGCCCAATGACCAAGCCCCCAGACTCTTTCATGAGCTTCTCAGCCAGATCAACTGTAAGCTCTCCGACTTTGACCCCGTGCCTCCGGTCAATAGAGACCAGCAGCCTGACCACTATGTCCAGTCCTTCTCTCTCACAGTCTTTCACAGCACGAAGCATTGTGCGTATGTACAGTTCTCGTGTCATGCCTGTCTCAGGAATTTCTTTAGGGGTAGATCGAAGTTCCAGGTACTTGACATTGTCCTGGGCAAATTCTGTGATGACTCTGTGTGTGAGCTATGAGGCAACAGATATAGTAGACGCTCAGTACCATACACATAATATATAATAAATTTCTTTCATTCTGACATTTATATCACATTTGCTAATTTGAATTTTTAAAATGTGATAGTCAACATCGCTTCTCGGCCTTTTGGCTAAGATCAAAGTGTAGTATATGGTCCCGACTTTACGGCCTTAACCCTGTCCATATGCCTGGGGTCATTTTGTACCCCAGGAGTTGCATTCTTCACATTTCAGAATACTTCTAGTGCGAGGATCTCTTTGAAACTTTTAGTATTTCTCAAAAAATCATTTTGACAGACTGCTATGCAAAACGTACAGATTGGATGGATTAACAAGTAAATTTCCTCTTTGAAAGCGGGGGCACAGAGTTCCCCCACACCTTATGGATACGATAGTAAAACACGATGTACCGATAGGGTTAATTGGACCTGCTACTAGAACACACACACTAGCTCAAGCCTGATTTACGCACTGCGATTCAGGAACTTAACGGAGAAGAGGTGTAAAATTATGACTTGAGTCAAATCCCTGATCATAAATTAATTGTAACAGTCTTACGCCTCCATTGACATAATATTAAGGTCACTTAGGAGGTAAACAGTTCGACCCTGCCCGGCAGAGCCAACCCCGGCTCAATAAAATATAGCATTCTAGCAGAAAGACAGAGAAACTTGGATAACCTGATTTCAATCACTAACCTGCATCTTTAGCATGCCATGGCAAAATGCTTCACTGCTAGTGCTACATCAAATGTCAGAAGGCAATTTACTCACTGTGTATACAGCTTCCTCTGTTCGAACTAGTTGCTGAATTTTGGAGAAGAGTAGGAAACTCCTGGTGGAGAAGAAAAGGGAAGCATTATTGATATAACAAAAGAAAAAACACTATGATCAAACTTGCATCTTTAACATACCATGGCTGCTGGCAAAAAGCTTCACCATTACACCAGACGCCAGAAGATTTTTTTTTCCCTACAGTTGATTAAAATCAAAATCAAATATTATGATATATTAGGATATAATGTGGGGGGGGGGGGCTGAAAGCGCAAAATGTTAACTCTTCTGGACAGAATGTCGCAGGTTTACCCTTGCTATCAGATTGATATTATCCATCAAAACCATTTACTTGTACTGTTAATATGACCAATCAATGACCAAAACTAAGTCTTAATAGTAAATCTCTGTGAGTAGCTCATGTTGAGCACTTGTACAGGTACCTTATTCTCAGTACACTTTGCTCCTGCAGCTTCAGCGATTTCAAATACTTCATCCTCAAACTCATAACAATATTCTATCTTACTTACTTACTTATCCATCTCTTGTACCTCCAGGGCGTCGACAGGAATATTCTATATTTACTTATTTTTCATATCAAATCCTGAAATCAATGAAAAATACATTAGCAGGAGACATAGTAATTGCTTAGACTTAGAGAAAACCAAAAGAAAAGAAGAAGAACAGTGAGAAGTGCAGCTCCGAGAGCAATATCCTTACCCATCAATTTCTTTGTGAGAAGAAATGTGCAGCTCTTCTATACTGTGGTCACCTGTCTGCCCACCGAGAGCAATCAGCTCATGTAAGGAGTCCACACTGTAACTTGTGTTTAGATGAGCATGCAGCTCCTGAAGAACAAAACATGAAGAAGAAAAAATGTATTAGTAATGATAAGTTCCTACAGTTGATAAATATACCAAATGCTGAAACCAGTAACAAAAGAGTCACATAATGCAGTGTTGAGACAAAGATCCGAATGGTCTTGTTGAATTTCCATGGTCCAAGTCTGGTAACATGCAAGACAGCATATGAATAATTTTGCAACAAAATGCCCATTATCAATTTTTACGGTTTTGAGAAAAATGAAAATTTCTGTTCTTGGCCTACTTACTGAATAGAAATGAAAAATTCTGCTTTTAGAGTAAACATGATGTAAGACACAATGGTATACCATAGTTTCAGACAGACTTTGAAAACGTTTTTTCTAGAGTTTTGTGTTCAAATTAATGTCATACACATATAATAAACCATGTTATATTGTACATTGATAGGTGACACAAGTCGGTATCCATATTCAAGCTTGATTAAGCTTCAGCTCATAACATATTTTGTAACATACTAAAACTTTCTCCAGATAATCAAACTCTAGGTAGAATAGAGCTCAAAAGAAATTTATCAAAATACTGTATTCAAAATTGGGGACAATAAATTGTCAAAGTACACTTCTATAGCTGAAATGATGGTTAAGGCTTTATCTTTCACTAGAGACTTCGTTACAATGTATTATTTCTTTTGAGACTCCCAGCAAGAACTTAACTTGAATGATATCAGTACATTATTCTCTTTTCGTCAGATTGATACAAGGACATTTAAAAAATAAGACAAGCTTATAATTTTACAGACATTGTCATATGAACAAAACTTGTAGATGTGTACACCTGTCCAACACAACTACTAAAAACAGAACAAGAACTTTTGAAAACGCAAGCATGATAGGATGGAGACACAATTCACATTCAGAAGTTACCACTTTCGGAAGCTGATGGCAAAATTCCAGCAAACTGAGACTGACTTCCGACTCGTCCATCATGAGGATGCTGAAATCTGACTGGTATGTACACACACCTTCAATCTAAAAAGAAAGAGTCCTCCTTTTACATTTTAATCAACGCATGCGTTTAATCAAAGGAGCATAAACCAAACCTGCCAGAACTTCAAGAAATCAGAGATGTAAAGCATGTGCCCAATTTACAACTGCAAACTAAAATTAAGCTGTCAAAATGTTACTTATATGTTCCTAGTAATCCAAACAACTGAAAACAAAACTTAGAAAGGCTGTCGACCTAATACGGATGAAGAATATATATCATAAACTGCATTCTATGAAAATTTTGTATCTGAAGAAAGTAGGCTAATAGAATACTAAAAAATCAGTTTGTGTCTTCAGAGATAGATAGATATATATATATATATATATATATATATATATATATATATATATATATATATATATATATATATATATATTATATATATTTATCTTAATTTCCCTAAAAATAAAAACATTTAAGTGAGACACATGTATAAAAAGATAATATTATATACCTGTGTCAGAAATCTCATGATCTAACAATTTTCAGTTATAAAGGCCTACTTTTTGTCCCTTAACTTGGAGGGAATTGTTTGACACACTTTCAAAATACACCAAGAGGCAAGACCAAGCACACAACTTCAAGAAAAGTTGGCTATCAACAAACAAAACTGTTATTTGGGCTATAACCTGTGATGACTGAAGTTATCATGCTTTAGTATTATTAGTAGTAATTTAAACAACAAGAAATGAAATCAGAAATAGTAATAAAAAGTAAGTACAATTCCTATCTTTTTTATATTTGATGCACACTACATCTAGATTCTAGATTTGTGTGGGACTTTAGACAACTTGCCTCCAAAACATAAACAGTTGGACTTAATGAATAAACAGTACTCAGGTTTTGTTGTTGTAATGAGCCTACAATTGTTACTAGGCCTATAAAATGTTTAATTATTATGGTGCATGCATGTATTTATTCACAATGATTTAAGTATTTAAAATCTCTCTCTCTCTCTCTCTCTCTCTCTCTCTCTCTCTCTCTCTCTCTGTGAGTGTGTGTGTGTGAGTGTGTGTGTGTGTGTGTGTGTGTGTGTGTGTATGTGTGTGTGTGTATGTGTGTCTGTGTGTCTGTGTGTGTGTGAGTGAGAGCGAAAAAGAGAGAGAATGTGAATGAGAAAGAGAGAAAGAGACAGAGAGAGATAGAGGGGGGGCGGGCAGGTATCTATATTATTATGGTTCTGAATAATAACAACAGCAGCCACTTATACTTATTACGCATGCGGGAAATCGTTGTAATTTATTGTTCTCGAGAGTTGTATTTTACAGCCCAGGGGTACGTTTACAATTAAGAAATATCTCTCTCTCCTCACCTAAGCTCTGAGTTGTTGAATCTAGCTTGCCCCTTTTTGTAATGCATGCACGTAGGCCCACTGATTGACCGTCTATTGATGAGATGACATCAGCTGACCAGCGGCCAGTGTCTTCGGTCGGATAGGTCTCCTCTTCGGATAATTAAAAACATGAAATTTTAATGGTCTTTTTCTTTTCTTTTCTTTATTAACCCCCCCCCCCCCCCTTAATAGGCCTACTAATAATTAAATAAATGAGGTCTAGAATCTATCGATCTAGATATCTAGATCTAGATCTAGAGCCTAACACTCGCACGTCATTTCTTGGCACACAAAATTGCTATTTGAATGATTATGGTTCATTGTGCAAATTGTGGTTACAAGTTACAATTGAGGTTTGTTAGTCAAGATATCGGATCGTTCATGGGATGTTATTATAAATTCTCTAGACCTATGAATAATCAAATGGTACCCAGTCTGTCCGTCTCTGTCTGTCTTGTCTCAGTGCATACAAGCACGCAGGGTAGATGAAAAGAAAGTCCGCCCCCCATCTGCTTTTTATACTATAGAAATGCAGGTGTTATGGTCTCGATTTATATTTAGCCTATTAGTATAATAGCAATAATATTAGCCCATGGTCTGTTGATATTAATAATACCGAAGAATTACCTTTTAGGCCTACCCGGAATTACAAGCACAGCTCGAGATGTCGTAGATCAACATTCATTCAGCGTTGCCAGCTGCATTGCATGTCAGCGTTCGAGAATAGCGCATGCAGTAGGTTAAAATTAGAAGGCTAGGCGGCGTCGGGTCAAAGTGACCTGTCTCGAACTAGGTCATTAAGATGTATTATGTTTAGGCTATAATTTATATTTGTATTTTTTTATGCGTGCATTTCGTTGGACACGGGCTCGTCTCGTAATCGGGAATGTTGAACCACTATGATGGCCTTCGATCACGCGTCTGCTTGCGCCTACTGCACAATAATTCCATCCATAACCTAAACTATTATAGATCTAGAGGGTTAAAAATACGCGCTCAGTAGAGACCATGTCGCGATTAGGAAAAAAAAAGATGGACTCTCTTTTAAAAGCGATATTTTTCACAGCTGTAACAAAGATCGTTCATGATAAACGGCGTCGGTGGCATAGTGATTAGGCTCTCGGACTCGCAACCGTAAGGTCGTGGGTTCGAATCCCGTCAGGGGCCCGACGTTGTGTCCTTGGGAAAGGCACTTTACACGAATTTTCCTCACTTCACCCAGGTGGGAATGGGTACCAGGCTATAGACAGCGAAAGATCTTGTCAGTTTGTTAGTGTTTGAGCGCTTATTCAGCTGTTTGCACTGTATGCTTCCCGGGAAGCTGAGAATGTTTTTGAGTGTTCTATGGACACTATGGTCTGCTGGGGTCATAATATAGTGTAAAGCGCATAGAGCCTGCTGTTGAACGGGGATATGCGCTATATAAATGCTATTTATTATTATTATAAACCTTTTAAAATCTGTAGAACATTTTATTTAGGAAAAGTGTTTGTTTAGTGTTTATTAAGGCATTTTCTAGAATACAGTTAACAGGTGTTTACAAAAATTTTGATCTGTTAAGACAAATTGAAAGTCATTGTGAAAAACGTGGCACGGAGAGTTTATAATCTGTCCCCGTAGGATTATGCGAATGTGCGTTTTTTCGCGTAATTCTGCAACATTTGCATAATTTTGGATTATCCTCGTTTTTACTTTTTTTTTTCACAAAATAATTAACGCCTCGCCGTGTGGCTAAAGGGACGTAATCACCGTAATAACTCTCAGTTACGTTAAAAATTTGTTATTTCCCTTGTTAGAAGATCTTGGTTGTGAGTTGTGATTTTGTTCCTTGAGCATGTTCAATTTTTCAATCCTTCAAAAGTTATCGTTCTCATGTCTGCTGATATTTCATGTTTGACAGGTGTCCATGGTTTTAGTAATGTGCCAGCATCAGAGGTCCAGATTTCCTTTCTTTTTTTTTTTTTTTTACTTTTTTCTTTCCTCGATAGATCTAGATCTACAGTTGAAAGTTACAGAGATTTTTTGATTTTTTAAATTAATTTTTTTAAACTGGTGCGTATTGTTTTCTTTTCCAAATACACAACAAATTACTGATACTGATATGTTCTGTTTTCAATGTTTCTGTACATAAAACATGAAAATCAGGAAACTTTGTGTTGAAAAAGTGCAAAACATGTCACGAATGGTTTTACTGTAACTTGCATAATTTTTGCATAATTTTGCTTTTTTTTTAAAACATAATTTGGCCTTCTAAATTTGCATAATTCTACGGGGACAGTATAATGTTCGATAGTTGAGGAAATATTTGACAACAAGTTGCGCCTCGAATTTTTGACCGCTCTATGAAGACACCAGGATATTAATATTATGGCTGTGCAAACTCGCGTTGTTAAAATAACTTTAAAAGAGTCACAGACACAAAGTATTATGTACTTGAAGCGTCTAGATTTACATTGAATCATTGGGTTTCATTAATTCTTAAATTAAAAAAAAAAATAGTTCGAGATCTCCGGTAGGCAGCTTAAAGTGTGTCCAATAGTCTAGTTTAGATCTAGATCTAGGTCTAGATTCTAGCTGCTTTAGTTTTCTTGTGCTCAAGCTGGTCATCGCTGTTGTTCTCTCTCTCTCTCTCTCTCTCTCTCTCTCTCTCTCT